TATTTTTAATGTTTAGATTACTTCAATATTCTCACCTGTAAGCTCAAATTAAAATTTACTTGATTGTATGTTAAGTAAATTTAGTAACACAGTTCCAGTTTATTACTACAAAGTGCTATTTTTTGTGACGATCCCTTTCATCATAATTCCTTTAGGATTTATATTTTATAATTTTATCATATTTATTTTAAGTTACTTTACCAACCAAACTAGAATTTCTTATAATTATGAATACAAAGTAAATTTTATAATTTAATATTTTTCATAATTTTAACGCTATTTATTTAACATAAAAGAAAGATGCATCTATAATATGTTTTATATTTCTTTTCTTTTTCTTGTAGCAGAGTACATTTGAATCTTTAGTTTAACCATTTACATGTACACAAATAGGAAGTTAGTATTTAATAAGCTACTACTTGTTAGAAAAATGCTATACTTCAAATCATATACTTTTAATAGGAGTGGTTATTCTACCAGCAGTTTTTTTATGGGTAATTTTGATTCCAGGCATATTAATGTGGAAAATTTGGAGCAAATCTTAGTTGCAGGATAATTTTTCATAAGAATTTTATTTAACAAAAAAAGTATTAATTAATTATAACATTTACAATCATTTAAAAATTTATTTTAATAAAAGTATGGATTTCTTTTTTATGGCTATAAAAGAAATTTTTATTTATGGGAATTTTTATCTATGAATTTAAGACTAATATTAGTGTTTCTTGTGTAATATTTTGATGAAGATATTCTCAGCAGAGCCTCTTTAATGTTGGTTTTCCTTTACTTGTATCTTATGCTTTTGCAAAAACATAAAGTAATTTAAGTTTCTTAATAAGATTTATTAATTTTATTTTAAAGCCTTATTAAAAGAGCAATTACTTTAAGATAGACATGCTATTTTCTTAAATATGTTGTCTCCTTACAATAATAAGCATTTTATTAAATGTCTTACAATCAGATATATTTTTATATTTTGGATAGATAATAATCTATATTCTTTAGCTGGTTGCTTTCTTGAGAATTTTTTTAATGTATTTAGATGCTTAAATTAGATTAAACTACCATCGCTTAAAAGAAAAAAAAATAATAAAATGCTTCAAAGCCATTTTATTAAGAGACTGTTTAATAAAAA